CCCCCCCTCCTTTTACACACACACAAATAGTGATACACGAGAATATACACAGACACGAGTGCTCAAATATTAATATAAGTATTTAAAGTATCTGCCTAGTGTCGACGCCAAAAGTTTTTTACTTTGTTTTTGGCGTTCGAACATCTTGGCTAATCAATTCAGTAACTGAACAGATTTTTTTTTTCCTTCCAAACAGTGTTCACTAGACGAGAATACTGTTTCGGTGGCATCAGATACCTTAAATCAATTACCAAAATACCTTAAATCAATTACCGAAATAATGAAGCACAAAATAATCCAATTTTTGCTGCCCTTTCCCTTCTTCCAGTTTTTCTGATCTTACCACACCGTTTTACAGTCAACAGAAACAGATGAAAGAACAAGGCTACTTTGCTTTTGTCTTGCAAGGAAAAAAATGTTTCATAAAATTTTGAATTATCTCTTTTTCCACGCAGGTCAAAATCAGAAAAATCACAAGAATAGACAAACAAAAAGAATTTGTTGTGTCACCAGCAAATAATGCAAACAAATCCAGAAGAAAACTGTTGCAACTGATAAACGTCATCATCAAAACAAGACAAAGAAGTTGATAAGCCAAAACGAAAAATAAAAAAAAAAAAAAAAACTTGTTGACAAAGTAAAATGTAGAATAAAATAAATAATCTATTGGCTACCAATTATGCTATGCATTTAGTGAAAAGATTTAATTTCCGGTACACTAAAATTAGAGTAAACATTAGAAGACGCAAAAGCAAAAAGTCCAAAAAACCGCAACTGGGCTTAAGATAAAGCGAAAGAAGGGAAAAAATGTGGTTATACCGATGCCCATTTTTTTCCTCCGCCTCATTGCTGACTATTTGCTACCGGTTTCTGTTGGTACCAACGACACAGCGTTAAATGAACGTTTGAAATAAAATTTCTGTCATCAGCCTCTTCTTTATTATCGCCTTTGATATCATTATTACTAATGTTATTATTACTAATAATATTTATATTAATAATAACAACATTAATAATAATAATAATAATAACAACAATAGTAAAAATAACATTATTGTTACCATTTTTATCATTAATATCAACACTGGTCGTAATAATAACAATAATAAT